GCAACAACCAGCCCGCCTAGGGCTTCTTCCTCTCTCACTATTTGTCCTCCCCCGAGGTCTGCGCAGGTTAGTCCGCCAATGCCGCTCCTCCGATTTCCAATCGTTCATGCATTGATGGGGAACTTCATGGCTTCTGCGACATTAGTGGAAGCTTTGGCATCCAAGACCATAAGTTTCCACGGTATTATCTTGATTTTGCAAGTAATAATCTTTTGATTTACTGGTTGTACCAGATCAAAGTGACGGTGACCTTTCTCACTACTCGGATCGGAGCGTTGATCTTAGAGGAGGACTGGTTCTGGTGAGCACAACACTGTGTGGATGCTTGCTTGAGAGGGTATTCTATTTCTTTTAGCTTGTTTGATTGATTCGTTGGGTTCATGATTAATTGGTCCTATTCTAGTCAGTGCTGGTCGCCCTTTACGGTTGGATCACAAAAATGACATTGTTAAGTAGGTGTCCTTAAACTTTTCTCTTCATGAACTGTATTTCCACCGCTATGGCGCTATAGTTATTCCCAAAATTTACAATACCCTTCCTCACAAGTGTAAACTTACTCTTAATAATCAGAAGCTTACGGTTTCTTAAAAGAAAACATGATCTAATACCAGATATTAAACCATACCAGGGTTGTTATGATCCATTGTCATATCCTTTATATAATCTCGGAGGATGATTTGGTTGGAACAGATTTATGCCCTATAATCGACGCATCTATCATCCCCGCTACTACTCCACGTGGCACAATGATAGACGGACACACCAACTTCGTGCAAACATTAGAACATGACTCCACAGGTTTAGACAAATCCTTATATTAATTGAAATTTATATCTAACTAACTCATGTGCTCTGAGTTTCCCTAATAATTTTTCTTGCTACATAGATGATCTTTGAAAAATGTCACGACATACAACAAGGTGAAAACTTGGGTAGCCCGATGGAGGAAAATCAATTTAGAAAATATGTCACCGCTCGAGAATACTATTGTTTCTTAATGCAAGTTCGACGGGGTCTTTTTAACATCCTGTTGTTTAGAGGATGACTATTCCAACAGTGGGCTGTTGACATGTATATAAAGATTGAGTCTATGAGGCTTGATTGGTAAGCTAACCCGGCAAACCAGAAACTCATACGGGCGAAACTATATCAGATGAGGCAAATATTTTCTTTGTAAAATATGTCGTACACTACAACTAAAAAATGACTTTTTTATTATTATAATTATAAAAGTCGATCATTGATAATTGTGTTCATGTAAGGTCTGGTTGTCAAAGTAATGATCTGGATGCACATTTTATTTATTATTGGTTCATGAACCTTAAGAACAATCAAATGAACAAGAGCTAATCATTTCAAAAGAGCTGGCTTTGGGCTTGCTATGTCATATTCTAAAAATCTAGACTTGATTCAGAAAAATAGAATAGTTAGATTTTGCGAAGCCATTTTATACATATATAAAGTGTTCTCTAATTCTTTCTTATTAATAATATAGTGCAATCTGCAGGCACCGTCTTTTTTTTTGCGCTGATCCGAAGCCACTGTCAGCCAAAAAAAGGTATCATTTACTTACATCTTTTATTTACACATTTCGTCAACCTGCAATTAACATCTCTATTTTTGCCACTGATCCCAAGCCTCAGCCGGCAAAGGAACATACTTAAATTCATAAGAACCGGTGTTCTACTGTCCAAGAGCAAAACTAATATTTTCTTTCTATCAGCTCAGCCCCACAGATACAACTACCACCTTCTTTGTCAACGATAACTGAACAAGGGCAAATCTCAGTTCGAGAAACAATGCTTAGTTGCTTACTCATGTTTCACATTCAAGTCTCCCTACTGTTGTTGCACCTACAAAGGTAACTGCTCGTATAAAGAGAACTTCTAAATGATTGCCAAATCAAGCACAAACACCCTCGCCCCTCAAGTATGCTGTTCTCATTATCTTCATACTTCCTGTAAAACTGCTATCATGTCATGGAAATTGTAGTGTTCTAGCTAACAATGAATCCAAAATATATATTCTTCAAATCCAAAATAGACACTTGGTAAGGATAAACACAAACTTTCTTTTAGTGTACTTTGTTTTATACAACATTTTAGTACTATACGGAAAATTAGTAGCTAACCACTGCAATTTAATGTGGGCGCTATGCTATTATAATGATGTTTTACACCATATTTTTGAGCTTATTCCTATGAAAGTCTATGATTGGAAAAACTGTACGAAGTCTTTAAAAAACAGATTTGAAGTCTGGTATGGGGATGTGAGAAGTAGGAGAGAAATAGGAAGATGTTGTAAGGAGACGGACTCTGATGATGGTAACGCAAGCTGAACATACATGATTCGATCAGAGCTCACCGAGTTGTTTGGTGTGGGATATGGAGATGTTAGCTCTTAACTTTGCAAATGTTTATGTACTTCATACCACTTGAGTTTTTAATGTCATGTAGCCTATTGTATAGCAGCTTTAGAGCTTTGGAGTATGAGTCAAAATGAGGAGGAATGAAATTATGTTCGTTACAATAGAATACGATGATATTGTAATCTTATTATAGACACACATTCTCTTTTTTTATATACTTTTGAAAAATGTGATTTTATAAATAATAAAAAAATTATTTGATTTAAAATTATGTGTAATGTGTTACCGTGTAAAACCAAAAAGGCACGAGTGCCAAAGGTCAACATGTTCTATTTAAAGCTCGAAGGAATGAAAAGAAAATACAAATTGTTTTTTTATGTGTGTGTCAAAAATCACTTATTTTCAATTACTACTCCCAAGCAAGAAGCATCTCTATTGTCTTTGTTTGCAGATATACTCCGACGATCTGTAGAATTTAGTGTGGTCACCGGTGGCTGTGTGTGGTATGATGCCCCATCAGATCCTGTGAAGCTTCTGATGCAGGACACAAGAGCACTCATGAATTTTCTTTTTTCACCCTTGGAGACTTGGTTTACAGACTAAATCATTGAATTGGAGATTGCAGCATGACTACTGCAATTATATTGAACTATGGAAAAAACATTTGTTATTTTCATGTGCGTCTCTAAGATAAATCCGTTGCGTTAGCACGTGCATTATACTAGAGAATAAACTTTATTCCAGCCGGCAAACAACGAGATACAAGAATCTGATGACGAAGGAGGTGGGTTGCTTTTTAATGACACAAACATGACTGCATAAGAGTTAGTTTTTAACATACCACGTGCTGCCCATGCAACAGATCCCCGGGAAGACATGGAACATCAGAGCGATGACGACGAAGCTAAGCAATTCCACAGGGAAGGTATCGCCTCACGTCGACCTATGTGCATGTCACGGAGTTCCAAAAAAGGGGTTTGCCGCATGAGCATATCCTGTTAATTATGAAATCAGCAAGTAGGGGGGGTGTGCGTTAAGGAGCGGTTCTTCGTGGTCGGAGACCTGGTCCTGAAGTGGAAGACGAATCAGGCTAGTGTCCACAAACTCGCAACCCCATGAGAAGGACCCTTCATGATCAAGGAGGTCACACGCCCTACGTCTTACAGGTTAGCTCGCCTAGACGGCACAGACGTACCCAATTCCTAGCACATCAACAAGCTTAGGCGTTTCTATGCTTAACTATTAAGATATGTACCCCTCTTGTACTTTTGATTTATTTTAATAAAGCTATTATGATTTCTCCGACCACTCTAATGTGTCACTTCGAAGTCTATTGTTATTCTAACTCTACCAGTTAAAACCGACTATCATTCTCGGGTTTTCAGAGTAGGCCGACCTCGGCTGGACATGTCCGAGGGCTTTTGCCTCCTCATGCGATGGAGCTAGGTACATGCCCTCCGACCACCAAACTGATCGAGCAGCCACGTCGACCACGTCCCGAGCGGCTCCGCCGAGCTCCGACCACGTCGACCACGTCCCGAGCGGCTCCGCCGAGCTCCGACCACCTCGACCACCAGACCACGTCGCAATGATGATTGCCACGAAGAATGACAAGCGCGACCACCGTCACAACAGGCCGAAAAGCACGAGGACCGGACAACTTTATCGCTATCGACTAGATTTCTATCCAAAGATAAGTACACTTCTAATATTTATATTTAATATAATTTTTATTACGACGTTTCTCCACAACGTCCTTGTCATGATGATTCTTAAAATAACGTTTGTCCATGTATACCATCTTAAATATAACATATAGCTATACTTAATGCAAATCCTCGACCAGTCATGCTGACGCTCGATGTCTCCAGAAATGGCTCTGTCTCCGGCTCCTCCCTACACGTACGTTTTCTGCATTGACTAATATCCATGACAAATTAGGCTACAATATAATAATTGGGTAAAGGTTAAACTACAAATAACAAATTGGATGTTTTTATGATCATTCTCTAGATAAAACCGTTGCGTTAGCACGGGCATTATACTAGTAAAGAGGTAATATCTCCCATATATCTCATTGGTTTGATCTTTTTAATATAAAAATATTATTGATAAGAAAATTAGTCTATTATTTTTATGCGATTACTCTTCGTTGTCCTTTCTTTGTAGAAGTGATGACTGACTAAAAATGTTTCAAACATCACGTTTAAAATAATTTTCCAATAGTATCACACAAGTTCAAACTTGAATTGCTGTAATGGCCCCGTTTGCTTTGTTGAAAAAACAAGCCGAAACATTATCCCGGCTGATTTGTTGTGAGAGAAAAATATTATTCTGGCTAAAAAAACAAGCTTAAAAATATGGATCATAAGAGAGGGCCATATTACATGAGCATAATCTTGCTAAATTAATACTAAGCCACCAGCCATAACATTTGCCCTCAGATCCTCTCTTACCTCTGCTAAGTCGTAACCCTGTTTCAAAGGATTTCAAAAGGCGCCACAAAAAGGCAACCAAAGCGAGGAGCCCTCCTGCCCTGCAAGACGACCCAAGGCCCGCAAGCCGCTCGGCCGTGGGGCCAGCAGCGGCAAAACCACGCTAAAATCTCGCCCAAATCACCCCCGCCCCAGCCATGGCGACCTCCTTCGGTTTCGGCGGCTCCGCGGCCGCGGGCTCCACGGCCTCCTCCCCCTTCTCCTTCTCCTCCACCCCATCCGCCTTCTCCTTCTCCCAGCCGGCGGCTGCCTCCTCCCCTGCCCCCACCTTCGGCTCCTCCCTCTTTTCCTCATCCTCCGCCGCCGCTTCCTCTGCCCCCACTTTCGGGTCCTCCCTGTTCGGGGCCTCGTCCGCCGCCGCGCCCGCCTCCTCCCCCACTTTCGGCTTCGGATCCACCCCCTTCTCGTTCGGTCAGTCCACGGCGGCCGCCTCATCGGCCGCGTCCGCGCCATCCCTCTTCGGCGCAACGCCCGCATCCTCCGCCGGAACAACACCTAGCTTATTCGTCGCTGCTACCTCCGCCGCAAGCAGCCCTGGCCTCTTCGGTGCCGCCTCCGCTGCCGCAAGCAGCCCCGGCCTCTTCGGTACGTCCGCCACCGGCTCTGCAGCGACCTCCTCGGGTCTGTTCGGTGGTACCGCCTCCGCGGCGACCACCCCGGGCCTATTCGGCGGGACTTCCTCCGCAGCGACCACACCGAGCCCATTCGGGGCCACCTCCTCCGCGTCGGCGACATCTAGTCTGTTCGGCGCCGCCTCTTCTGCTGCGTCCACCCCAAGCCTCTTCTCTGGAGCCGCCACGGGCTTTAGCTTTGGCTCGTCGGCGTCCGGTTCCACCACTACCACGGCCGCCGCCCCGGCACCATCATTCGGCTTCTCGTTCAACTCGGGGGCGGCCGCGTCAAGCACTGCCTCCACCGCGACATCAGCACCGGCTTTAGGGTTTGGCGGCTCCACTGGCTCGTCACTGTTCGGATCCACCACCTCCGCGCCCCTCTTCAGCACCACCACCGCCTCTTCTCCAGCGCCTGCTGCGACCACCACGCCATCCTTTGGGTTCTCTTCCTCGCCAGCAACAACCGCTTCCGCCCCATCGTTTGGCTTTACACCGTCAGCAGGAAGCGCGACTATGGGGAACACGGCTCCTTCCTTGTTCTCATCTGCTTCCTCGAGCCCTGCCTTCGCTTTCGCCAAGAGCACATCCACCACCACAGTAACCACACCGGCGTCCTCGCCCTCCACTGGCTTCTCCTTGGCCACTTCGCAGGCTGCACCTGCTCCCTTATTGTTCTCTAATACCGGTGCAGCAGGCAGCTCGTCTGCCACTACGCCTGGATTCTCGTTTGGTTCATCTTCGGCAGCTTCTACACCAACTTTAGCTTCCGTGTCTGCAACTGGTGCCTCCACTGTGCCATCAGCTGCTGCAGCTTCTGCAACATCTGGGTCATTGTTCCCAACTGCTTCTACCAGTAGTTTCAGTTTTGCAGTGGTGCCATCATCGTCATCAGCAGCGGCAGCTACTGCCACTACCACCACTGTTACAAGTGCATCTACATCTGCAGGCATGACAACCACGGCTCCTTTGACTGGAACAACGGGGTTTCCAAATTTTAATCTTCAAACAACTACACCAGCTTCTACCTCATCTCCCACACTGGCATTTGGTGAGCTTACATGGTTATTCATCATCTGCAATTGTTCTTCAGCGTTTTTGTTACCATGCCTACGTGTCTGATTTGAACCAATTATTATGCTTCTGGATTTGGTCCCAATACCTTCATTGTTACAGCATCACACACATAAAGTTACAGAATCCAGTTTGTAGAGCATAATAACATCTCAAATGAATCTACATCGTTGCTTCAGATCCCAACATCATTATTGTACCTGCACTATACTGACCATTATGCTTATATGTTTTTCTTATACTATAGGTGTTTCTACTGCTGCTGCTAGCACATCAGCCACCAGCACCACAACTCAGGCAACTTCCTCAGCTGTTCAAGCTAGCAGCACAGGGTTGTACAAGTTCCCCTGGTCTATTTCTACTACTAATTCTTCATTCTGAACTGATATTTTTTATTTTCTCTGTGCAGTCCGACTACTACTACATCTATCACTCCAGCAGCATCCCAGGCACCTAAGCTACCATCAGAAATTGTTGGCAAAAGCGTTGAGGAGGTACTGCACTTATCTATTTAAATTGCAGCTAGCTGAATTTCACTTTGGCAATTACTTTTTTCTATTGGCAATGCTCTGGAGGCTAGAGAATGTGCTTCCTGAATACTTCATTTCTGTAATTAACCAGTTTGATACTATTTCACTTTTGAGATATACCTCGCACAATTGTCTGCGTTGTAGATTATTAGGGACTGGAACAATGAGCTTCAAGACCGTACTGCGAAATTCAGGAAACATGCCACCGTAATAGCTGAATGGGATAAGAGAATTCTGCAAAACAGAAATGTTCTTATTAGGCTTGAGGTTTGTGTTTTCATTTATTATCGCTTTTTCGAGCAGCTTGCCACATTGTATTATTACCAGGGGTTTCAAACTATTTGTCAATTTTCAAATTCGAGCTCTTGCAGTGAGGAGATTAGCAAGGTTATACATATGCTTGTGCTTATTATGGATTGTTATTGAGTACCGTTTTCTAAAATAATGTTTAAAATAAATGATATTATATGCTTTGTTATGAGGAGATGATAGCGGGCCAGGAAGGGTTAGTTCAATCCAGTTCCACAAATATTGGTAATACGAAGACCTGAATTGCAGTTTGCCCAGTTCTGGATTGTGTATTGTTAGGTTAATGTGATGAGAAGAGCTTTAGGTGATCTCCTCTTAGAGATTTGACTGGGCAAAGTTTTGCTGGTGTGACTTAGTTTTGGAATAGTAATACAAAATCGGCACAGCAAAATCCATTTAAAATTCAACATTCTTTATTTCGATTTGATTTTTATCTTGATAGCATCAGATTTATTAGCTTATACAATCATAGTTTAGGTCATCGATTTTGATGGGACAAAAATTGTGGGATATGGAGTTTGAAAGTGGATGAAGATATGCTATTTCCATTCACTGAAGTTATTGGCAAGTGATATGGAGTTTAGGTCATCGATTTATTAACATGTGATTAGTTTGAACACTGAAGGTCTGAAAAGCTCAACAAGTATTCACACTTATCATTACTTAAGGAATCCAAACAACAGGAAAATCGATGGTTTCTCAAGGAATTCCAACTGTCTCAGTGAATTCATTTGATTCAGATTAGTGTTTACCTTCAGCAGATGCTTATGCACGATTTTGTTGTGATGATATTTGTACTACTGAGTATGTACATTTTTTTTTTTTGCAGGCTGAGGTGGCTAAAGTTGTTGAAACACAAACAGGCTTGGAGCGTCAACTTGAGTTGATAGAAACTCATCAGCGAGAGGTTTGTGTTTCTGCTAAGTTTTTATACGTTTCCTTTACTCTTATTGACTGTAGCTTTATCCTTCGTTCTGTGCTTTTGTTTCTCTCCTTATTTCTGTAATTAGTTATCTGTTGACATTACATTATTTCATACCAGCACAGTATTTATATACTATGCCAAAGACCTTACCTCTTTGAACTATGCCCCCCATTGTTACCTGCACATAAGTAGTTTGACTTACCTACCATGAATTTGTTTTTTTTTGGTTGTCTTAGTTGTGGTTGACCAATCATTTGCCAATGAGAAGTTCAGATTTGCTTCACTTCTATTCAATGTTGTGAACAGAATGAGCTCCCAAATGCTGGATCCCTTGGCATATGTACTAATTTAACAGTCTTGAACAAAACTTCCAAATGCAAGGTTTCTTGGCATATATACTAATTAACAGTAATACAATACTTGTTCTAGTTTGACTTATGCTGAACTTAAATTAGAAGTCAGGATAACCAATGGTTAGAAAGAAATTGCATTGGAAATTTGAATTGTGCATACAATTAAAAAGAAATCCATGTAACGCGATGCTGGCTATTTGATAGGCCTACGCCTTACTTGGCTTGGCTAGTATAGCTTATTAGACATGAGGTGTCTGTTTAACATCTCCCTGCTGAAACTAATGGCGCAACTTTGAATGAGTTAATAAAGTCCTTGAACTCAAACGTGGTAGTTCGACTCTAAGATTTATGAGCATCCTTGTATGGAAGTTCTTTTTTCTTTTTCTTTTTTTTGGTTTGCTGTGAACCTTGTATGTGATCCTGATTTTGCTTTAGACTAGAGATTCCTTTGAGATGAATTCAAGGCCTGCAATACCATCGGCAATGTGCCTTGCTTAGTGATCGTGTTTTATTCAAAATATTCGAATCAGTGCCCTTGCAATTTTTTTATGTAGTTTAGCCTTGTTTTTTTTAAATGTCGAGAATAGTTTCTACTATCACGAAGAAATGGGCAAGGATACACAATTTAGCTGTTTCCATGATCCATTTTGGATTTTTGGCCGTGAGTCCCTTGACCCACAAATCGAAGTAATTTCTGCAGTCTGTACTCTGTACTAACTAGTTCTAGTTTACTGTATTATCGCTGCTTTCTTGATCCAGTTTGACCTTGAGTCCTTGACCCATTAAGTGTGAATCAAACTACTGTTCTAATCTACCAATTGAACTGGATATGTCCAGTTCAATTGAACTGGATATGTCCAGTTCTAATGTACTCTGGAAAGGTTTAATCATTCAACTTCTAATTTGCAACGAACTTGTTTTATAATTGCAGGTAGACAAGGCTCTACAGAGTATGGAGGAGGAAGCTGAACGCATATTCCAGGATGAACGAGTGTTACTTCGTGAAGATGAGGCTGCTTCAGCAAGAGATACTATGTTAGTTCAATAAACTTTTCTTGATTCTGTCTGAGTTTTTTTAGTTTTACTCCAATCTAGGTGAATGTAGTTTAAAAAACACAGTTCAACTCATTTTGTAAAGAAAATCAAGTAGTTTGGTCTCTCAAAATGACCTCCATAGTCCATATTATTTTTGAGGGAACTGAATTGAATATTAAAGGGCGCACCCAGTGCAGGGAGCTCCCGCTCTGTGCGGGGTTTGGGGAAGGGTGTTAGTGGCAAGCCTTACCCTCGCCTGTGCAATGCGAGGAGACCGCGACTCGAACCCGGGACCTTCCGGTCACAGGCGGTAAGACTCTACCGCTTGCACCAGGCCCGCCCTTCTGAATATTACGTATATAAATAGCAGACAACCTGTTTATACTTGTTTGATGGCCTGTTTGCTCTGATGTTATATACTCCTTCCATCCCAAAAATAGTTGACACTTTAGCTATGAATTTGGACAAATAACTGTCCAGATTTTGGGAGAGGGAGTAACTACAAAAGTTTACAGAACTTGTCATATTCCGTTAAATTAGCCTACACTGTTAATTTTGTGATAGAAAATGCCAAGATTACCATCATTCATGCATAGTTTGTTTTGTGTGATTGTGTCTCCAACTAAACTTGTTTTTCAATGCTAAGGTATGAACAAGCAGAAGTTGTGGAGCATGAACTGCAACATATGACAGAACAAGTGAAATCCATCATTCAAACTATGAATGCTACTCAGGTAATGGTCATGTACTAATAGACTTGCTATTCAGTCACGAGCAATCTCTTACTCCCCTTGTCTATTTCAGGGTGGTGAGCTCGAGTCCGCTGATAGTATGACACCATTTGATGTTGCGGTCCGGATACTCGATAATCAACTGCGTTCCCTGATGTGGATTGATGAGAAGGTCAGGATATTTAACCGCTTATAATTACTTTTAGTTTTATTTCTTTCAGTTTAGCATGTTCAAACCTGACACGTGTTCTGTTAAAACAAATTGTTTAACAAATGCTTGTTAAATTATGGGCCTAAAATATTGTAGTGTGTTTCCTGTTGAGTCTGGAAGGTGGTACCTTGCTTTCTGCACAGTTATTTTATTGTCTTATTATCCATTTTATTCCTGTGCCATTCTTACAAATCATAAGTTTTTCAAGTGTATATATATGTTAGCAATGATGTTGGCAGGAAGTGGCATGCTATTCTCTGATTCTGTGCTACCGATGATACTTTTATACACTGTTCTGTCAAATCCTGCCTTTTCACAAATGATTGATTGCCTTTGATCAAAACCAGAGTAACTTGATCTATACACCACCCTTGCCTTTGATCAAAACCAGAGTAACTTGATCTATATACCATCCTTTTGCCTTTGATCAAAACCAGAGTAACTCGATCTATTTCATCTTTTTCTTTGCATGATGTTAGATGTATTCATGATCTCATGCACAGGATTCTTAATACTCCCTCCGTCTGCACCTAGACAAATATCTGTCTAGCTGCATAGCCAGAAATACATTTATTTTGGAACAGCATGATTAGTGATCATTCAGTGGAATTAATTGTCTAATCTGCTGCCGTGAAACCATTATTGATATATGTTTTTTTTTTTTTTGGCCTAGGTTAACGAGTTCTCTGGCAGAATACAGAGGCTGCCCAACAACAGCTCTTCAGCTGAACGTGACTCTGGGATTCCCAGGTTTTGGTTAAGCTGACTAATTCGCGGCATTTGCTTGCTGCTCTGATCGAGGCTTAGTAAGCATTCTTTGCTTGGTTATTCTGCTGCTCCACCAGCCAAGGTTTCGTGTTATTTTCTACCAGTTCATGTAGTTTGGTGCCGTGTAGCTCTGGCTGGTTCACTCTGGATTGATACCATTCAATGTCACATCATCCTGTTTGGTTAGTCATTTTTCAGCGTGCTTTCTGTTAACCTTGGATGTGAACTGATAGTGCTAACTTCAGTTTGTTTAACCCTGGACGTGATTCGCTAGCAGGATTACAGTATGTTTGGATCTATATAGGGCGTCACTATATCTAGTAGTCAACTAGTAACTCAATGAACTATCTAGCTAATTGAAAGTTACGTGCTGTTTGGTTGGTAGAACAGTAACACAAATGGAAATGATATCGGTTCAAATCGTATGAGTTGTCGTAGCGTCCACAGCTTTAATTTCTTTACATTTGTTTTACCAATGCTTACAACCAAACAACACGTTAGTACCTATTAGTCATGATTCAAATGGGACTCACCTAAGAGCATCTCTAAGAGTCTCTTGTAAACTCAATCTCTCAGTCATTATTTGGAGAGACATTTGAATATAAATTGCTCTCTATATCTTTCCATCCTCCAACTTCTCTATATTCTATGCACACTTTATAGAGTTAGCCTCACCGTTTTTGGCCAGTGAGAAGTTGGGAACAGAGGATGTCTATATTTGGAGACCTAGGGGCCATTTGGTTACTACCCACAGTTTGCCATAACCAACCTTAGGCAAGTGTGGCTAGTAAAAAAAGCTATTAGTTGACTTTTCTCTATTTGCTGAATGTTGATTATTTGCCTACCACAACTTGTTTGGGACTTAAAGGCTTTGTTGTTGTTGTTGTTGTTGTTGTTGTTGACTATTAGCTCTAATGGTTCTAAAAGTGCCTTTAGACCTTTAACGATTCAATTTAGGGTAAAATAAAATTTTCAACCTCAAACTTTTGTAGTTTGATCTTCAACGTTAAACTATGAAACTAGATAACGGACACACTCCAATTCTTAAAATCGAACAAATCTGATTAACTATTTAAACATTCATAAATAATTTATTTTAAATCAGAAAATATGAGACTAGTACCTTTTTTTTTCCTAAAAATGTTCTCTACTTGTTTATGATCTATATATAGATTTTTGGAATTGGTTTATTCCTGTTTCTACTACTTTATTGCTCGTAGTTGTGCTTATTAAAACAAGTAAGATCCGAATAACTCTAAATACAGCATTAATAGATAGATGGTGTTTTTAGAAGAAAAAAAACTAAAACTAGTTTCATATTTTTATGAATTATTAAATAAATTAATTATGATTTTTTAGATATCAAATCAGATTTTTTTATTTTAAAATCAGAAAAAGAATCAAATTTGTCTGGTTTCGACACTTGGAGTGTGTTAATTTTATAGGTCAAGGTTGAAATCGAACTATGCTTTGAGGTGGAGGTTGAAAAATATACTTTACCATTAGTTTATACCCAATTTGGGCGGTATGTCGCATGCAATAGTGATCCGATCAGCAGGATCCTCTTTTAAATATACTTTACCATTAGTTTATACCCAATTTCCGGCTCTGACCCTTTTTTTCCGTTGCCGTACGTATCGTGTTTCGGTTTCTTTGCTAAGGTCCTCTGACCTCTTTTTCTTTGATGTATTGTGACATGCTATTTGTGAATCTATCCCTTCCCTAATAATAAAAAGGCAAAATTTCTATCGTACTTTTTTTTTCTGCCTCTTCCTCCCGTATCCCGTATTCTTGTATATTTTTTCGTTCCAGTCTGTTCCTGTCCAGGTTCTATCTGTATTCACTTTGTCCAGCCCATAATCGGTGGCCTTTCAGCCCAACTATGACTCGGTTTAGTCCTGCATCCTTCGTCTTCGGCAGCATCCGCCACAAGCCCGCAACCGAGTCGATGTCGTTTCCGTCCGTCCAATTTTGTTTTGCCCCTGTTTTTCTTTTGTTGTTTTTTTCGTTTTCTCATGTGCTCAGTCACCAAGTCCGTGCGTCGTTGGTGCATTCCCTCCACACAGCTTTGTTTACTGATTTTTTTTCTTTTTTCTCTTTCCCGTTTTTCTTATATATGAAGATAAAGATAATAATATGGAATATATATACAATTATGAATCTTTAAACCCTTTATCGGTTCACCCGTTTCTAATAAACAAATATTTATATCGCCAAATTGGTGATATAGTTTTAATAATAAATAAAACTTACTTTTTATTATAACCTAAATTAGCTAATGGTCTAACTAATTAAGGTAGATCCAAAATCTTGAGCAGTTTTTTATACAAGTATCTACAATTTGGACACATATATCCTCGATTAGAGATACCATACGGGAATCGAGAGAGGTCTTCGCCATAATCAAGATTAATCCTTGACATGATGACAAACAGATATTAGGATTGCATATTTTTATGGGTCCTCAAAGAAAGTCATGGGACTTGATGGCATCCAACCTTCTGAAGTAAACTAGATGAAATTGATTGAAATTCCGAACCAATGATCTTGGATCAAATCGAATACCCAGTAAATGAGACTAGGAACATAGCAAGCGAACCAAATAAAGTCCAATCAAATCCCAAGACAATGACCCTCAGCCTCAAATGAACCAGATGGCATTGAGCCTTGTTTAGAAAACAAGAGCAACCAATCCCGAACCCTACTGGTGCTTGACCGCTGGTGCTAGATCTCAATCACTGTTGTTGTTGGTGCTGGAACTATAGCCCTTTTTTACATTAATAAAATTAATTTGATAATTTATTGATTGTATTTTGACTATAGTGGTTTATATAATTATGGAATAATAATAATAACAATAATCTTCTTCTTCCGTTACAACGCACGGACATATTTGCTAATACAGTTATAAAAAAAGGTAAGGACGGGTACGATTTTCGTAGGCACTGTTAAGATGTACAGCCTAGATAATTTTATGCGTTCAATATGGGGCATAAACATGAAGAACTAACCGACGCCCTCTTTAAGATGTTCAGCTGTTGCGGCTGGCTGGCCCTAGGTGTCGGCTACGGTAACTTGTGAGGGAGAGCAGCCAGCACAGCCGGCAGCAGCAGCCAGCCGAACGAAGCCTAAATGTTGATGAAGCAGTTCGTTCGACTGTAATTATGATTCGAGTGGCTTCTTATTCCACTCCATTTCCATAAGAGCCAAGAGGCGATCCAATATACTGTGGACTAATTGGCTGTCTAGGTCTGTTCCGCTTCTAATAGGGCCCATCAAACTCCAAGCTCTTTTGCATTACGCAACGATACTTTCCCGAAAGCACGCTAACCTTTTTTTTTAATGCAGCACGCTAACCTTCTGTTAAGATGCTATATTGCTGCTTGGTTCAAAAAAAAAAAAGATGCTATATTGTTATCTCAACTCACTTTCATCCCTTCTTTGCAAAAGGCGACGTGACAATATGCTTTTGTTTTCCATTTTAAGCTTATCAAGCTTGCTAACATTCCTTAGCGTGGTTTTGATCGGCTCCGTACAATCAGGATAAGTTTTTTCCTCCTTGATAGAAAGCTATCGTCTCCCTTCACCTGAAATGAGAAGCTAGCTTCATGACCGACAAATCAGGCAAAACAGTGTGTTTCTGGCACGCTACACTCACTGCTGGTTTCTAGCAATATCTTTCTAGCTTCATCAGCAAATGCAAATCCGTTGCAAACGGCAAGCACTAAGCACAGCTCATTAACTCATCATGGGATTCCTTTCAACGGCAAGTGTGAGCTGCATGTGAACTGTGAGGTTCGAGCGGAGGAGCGTTATTAAACCAAACCATGTCCATGTGCGGAAAACCCTCCGAACTCGGAATCAAATCAAAACAAAAACCGTCATCAACGGCTACTTGGTGCTAGATTAAACCACCTGTGAAGTAGTCGACAGCACATGGCCGCTCTGTGCCTCCACCGCCAGTGGCCCGCTCGATGGTAAGTGTTGAGAGGACTTGGAACACAGATACAGAGATGCATGCAACTCGCAAAAGGAAATCTGGAGAGAAACCGGTCAAGGACTCAAGGAGGCACATGGCGGCTCCATGTGAGGCTGATGCCCGAGGGAAGAAGGTCAGGGAATCCATCTCGTCTCCCATTCTCCACCTCCCACAGCTGCAATCGGTCACATGGGCGAATTAAAAGCGCAATCTTGGTAACCAAGGTCCGTATAGGTAGCAGCTGTTCGCTTTATCGTTTTTGTGGCTTATAAGCCGACTGATGCTGTTTTGTTGTGAGAGAAAAACACTGTATCATGGCTGATACGATCATGCGAACATGGTGATGCTACTGTGGCCTGTGACCCGGAAGCCAATAATGCAGCAGTACGATGTATTGTACGCAGCACGCTAGTGGTGGCAGTGGAGTCCAATCCTTGAAAGTGAGGCTTACCCAACCGGCTTGTACGAGTATGGTATGATTAGACCTGCTGCTGCTAATCAGAGGAGCCATCTGAGTGACCATTGACACGGTGTCACTATGCGCAAAGCCAAGGCCTTTTACGATCCAGAAAGGCCACAAGAGTGCGTGTAATTATGGTCCGCGCCGACCCAAGCCGCGGCCGCAACATCCGTCGCCACCATTAATCTTTCTTTGTTGCTCGCTTTCTTTTCTTCTTCCTCTCCCTTGATGATCGCTTTGTGGTCCTGTCAAAGAAGCCCGGCAAAGGCGGCACGACCCAAGCAAAAGGGCGCGTCGCGGCTTGCTAAGGATCGCAACATTTTACAGCCCCAACCCAAGAGGATAGAGGAGGTCCAAAGCGAGGTGAGGTTAATAAACAAAGGCCACTGTGTTTTGCCTTTAGCTAGCATGAGGAATCGTCCAGTCGTCCATTACAATTACCCACACGCTACACGACATGGACCTACCTCCACGAATCAAGGGAGGAGGAAGAAGAGAGGGAGAGAAAAAAAAACTAATGAACCCTATAGGATATGTATGTCATATCATATGGATTATG